TTGGCTAGCTTTGACCCAGACAGATTTGGATGAATTTGTCCTCCAGGGGTGTTCCTATGATAGGGAGGGAGAGAGTCAGTCAGGTAACACATTCCTCTCTTCAACCCCCAGATTCACATGGAGTGGCCTAACCTGTCTGTGTTTCCATTAAAAGAAAAAATTGCCACAGGATAGCATGCGATTACCACAGAGAGACAGACAGACAGAGAGAGGAAGAAGGAGTAAGTACACCTCATGGGGAATGGTTATGCTCCAGCCCTTTCTCTTCCATTTCTCCCTCCTTTTGGGATTTTGGGCCCACACATGCACATGCACCCAGCACATTTCTCAAGCTGCCAAGTCTGAGACTCTACCTACATTGTCAGCCATGTGGGATCCAGCCACCTTAACTACAGTCCTTGACTACACCTTAACTATTTCAGTCCTTGGAGCTAGCCTACCTATCAGCATTTTCTGAATGTTCCCCAAAAAAGACTATACTCAAGAGAAGAATCTGTAACTAAAAATAAAACTTGAAAACTACTGTTGTAGATAAACCCAAGATGTGCAAAGAAAAGAAAGTATAATTTCCTGATTATTTATTATGTGCTGGGTAATTTTAAAACATTATAATACAATCTTATTTAACCTTCACCACATCTTAATGAGATAGAGAATGGTCATCCCACTTTGCAGAGTAGAAAACTGAGATTCAGAGAAGGGAAATCTTATAACCAGCAAGAGCCAAGAGGCATGACAGGATTCTAAAGCCCTAACTATTCTGTGAGCTGTCCATCTCTAAAAGTCTTGTTACTTTTCAATTTTCTCTTTCCAAGTCCCCTCCCTTGTATTTCAGGTCTGTTTGCAGCTATTACAATCATATATTAATTAGCTAATCACCATTCGGTACAAATGAGCCTTTGTCATTTTGTTATTTAATAACACATTTATTCATTAAAGACTCATTTTTTCAATGTTCAGTAGAAGTCTGGTACTGGGCAAGGTCCCAGGAATACAGACTATCAAGATGTTGCCTCTATCATCAAGGGACTCATTGCCTAATGGGAAGAAATACAAAAGCCAATAAGTGGAAACATTAAAAATAGTACCATAGCTGTCTGTACTGGGAACAGTGCAGGAGCAGGGGTCATGGGGAGAGGAGAGGAAGGACAATTACTGTCTCTTTACCAATAGTATTTAATGATATCTATTGTTGACATGTTTTCAATTCATGCTGGAATGCTGCCAGCATTATTCATGCCCCTGGAAAATACCAAAATGCATCCTTATCCCATTTTCTCTTCAGTCGTTACAGAGACAGCACTATTCCATGAGGTAAGACAAAGTGAAATTTATAGAATTTCTTTTTTTTTTTTTTTGGAGAGGTTTTTGCTATAGGGTGCATGTGCTCACCAGATAGAGAGACAGAGAGACAGAAAGCAAGAAATCTGCCCGGGGCGGGGGAGTGGGGGTGGCCACACCGCAATCCCTTCTCCTCCATTCTCCTCTCGGGATCTTGGGCATGCATACACACACGCCCGGTGTGAGTTTAAGCCACCAGGTCTGGGACGTGAACCGCAGTTGACTACATGGGAGTCCAGCAACATAGCCATTATGCTAACTGCTGGTCCCTAGAATTTCTTTTCATTGTCTCTAAAGAATAATTTGGCTTGAAATACTTTTAGACATTAAAAAAAAATCTGACTCTTAAAAGTAATTCTACCCTTTGCCTTCCCTCTTAGATGTTCCTGTCCTAGCAAGCCAAGGAAAAATATTGTTCTGTAATTTCTTGTTTACCCCATCCCTCTTACATTTCTTGTGAAAGTGGAATGTATGAGTAATACCTAGCTCATATTTTCTAATTCAATAATAATCTGACTACTGGATCTCTAATGACATAATGACAGTGGTCAGACAAGTTAGTATCCAAGCATTAACATGAAATCCTTGCTCTCTTCCCCATGGATAATCTCCTTTTTTTTCCTTTGTATTTGCCAGAGGGTGCATGAGCTTACCAGAGAGAAGAAGAGTGAGGACCCCTGTAACCTCTTTTCCTCTATTTCTCCATCCTGCTGAGATTTTGAGCAAGCAAGTGCAGAGTATTTGAACTGCTCAGTCAGCCATGTGGTTATCGAGCTCCCGTAATCACCAGGCCGTGGAGCTACCCCACTCTGGGTTATTTTAAACTAGACTTTCTTTCCAACTTATCATTTTCCTTGAGCAATCCAAACTTTTTTCCCCAGCCCAAAATTACTATTTTTCAGAATCTAAATAGTGAGAACAACTGTAACGATAATAAGCCACTGATTAGAGCAGAATGCATACTCCAGAGCAAAAATAGCATGTATGAGCCCATACCTAAGTGCTACTGAAAGCAAAATGATAAATGTTAAATCCCACACTTGAAATAACACAAATATATAACCAAATGTTGCCAAAATACACAGGTTATCCCAGCTCTGGAAATGTTCTTGAAGGAGATAGATCAAATAAAGGAAAAAGTATGAAAATGCTTTTTTTTTTCATTTTAAAAAAAGTACTTAATATTTTCTGACTACAAAAGTATACATGTTCATGATATAAAATCTAAAGTACAGAATAAGTATAAAAACAAAATTAAAAAATGAATCTTAGTCCACAATACAGATTTATCAGCTTAATATTTTGTTCCATTTCTATTTAATTTTCTTATACATACATATTACAAACACAATTTCCTTTTTATACAACTGGGACTATCCTTACACTTCTGTTCTTAAATCTTGCTTTTTCTACTTAAAAACACATGATTATCTCTGTTTGTCCTTAGATGTTGTTCAATAATTTTCAGGGTCTTCATAAAAATCTATCACATGGGTATACCACCATTCACTGACCCATTCTTCCATTGGTGGACAGCTAGTTCTCTTCATTTTCATTGTGTAAATAATGCTATTAGGAGCATTTTTAAACATAGCTCTTTGTGTGCAGTCTGCTCATTTCCTCAGGAAAAATTCCCAGAAATAAACATTCTGAGACAGACAATTTTAAGGTTTTGCTATATATTGTCAAAGTGCTACCACCGTTCTGGAGAGAAATTTATATATAGGCAATACACATGAATTCACAGGGAGGAAATACCTCTGAGAAACATGAAAAAAGAAATCAAAGGCTCACTAGGAATCAAGAAAATTCTTCTTGAAATATGATATGTGATAGAAAATTGGGACAGTGATAGATGCACAGCTGAGTAAATTATAGGCCATTAAACATGATCATTATGAAGGCTGAGAAAGGCATATAAAATGTTCCCAGTATGTTTTTAAGTTAAAAATGACATAATCACATATGTAATGTAATTGTAATATGGGGAAAAATTCTGTTTGCATAAGGACCATGGAGTCATAGGTGATATTGCAGCTAAACATTATAATGTTGTCTTTACAATTAAAAAATCCTGAGGCAAACAGATAATGAGTCATTGCCTGAAAATTGTCTCTATGTAAGAAAGTCTCCCTTGCAAAGAAAATGACAGGTGGGTAAATGAGAGCACAGATGCCAGGTTTATCTCTCTTATCCCCATTTGCCTATTAATGTCTCTGCCTTTCTGGAAATTCAAATGAATTAATTCAGCAAATTACACATTTTACATGACTGCCAACAGGTTAACTAGTAAATACCTAAAAATGCCAAGAATGGAATTTGACAGTGTAGTATAGATGTGTCGGGGAAAGGAGCTGCAGGCAGGCAAGAAGGGTCTTTGTTAAAAGGCTTACAGTTTCCTAATTTAAAGCTCTTGGCTTCTCAGTATAGGCAGAAGTTAGAGAAACTCGAAGCCATGTCATTTCAATTCAGAGAGCACCTGAGTTCTTCTGACCCCACCAAGGTGTGTCAAGTCCCCCGTCTGCGTGCCCATATCCAGCTGGAGCCACATGATGCCCTCCAGAGACACAACCCTACCTCCATCTTCACAGACAGTCCTTGGCTAAGGTCAAGAGGGAGTGTGTGTGTGTGTGTGTGTGTGTGTGCATACACGTGCATACACGCACATGCATGCATGTGTGTCTGTGTGTGTGCATGTATAATGTCATATTATTGTTACAAAATACATGTAAAATGATTTATCATTTTAACTATTTTTAAATGTACAATTCATAGGCAGTAAGTATACTCCATACCCATTAAACATAACTCCCCATTCCCTTTCTCCTCAACCCCACCATTCTATGTTCTATCTCTATGCATCTGACTACTCTGAGGACATCAAATAAGTGGAATCATACAATAGTTGCTCTTTTGTGACTGTCTTACTGCACTGAGTATAATGTCCCCAAGTTTCATCCATGTGTAGCATGTCAGAATTCCCTTCTCCTTTTAGACTCAATGATATTCCATTGCGCATACATACCAGGAGCTGGAAGGTTTTCAGGAGCTACAGTCCACCTCTCTTAGAATTACCACCAGATCATATTTGTTGCTAACACAGTACTGAATACAAGTTCAACTCTGAAAAATGTGCTCCCTCTCATTCCTAAACTTCACATTAAGCCTTCCTTCACTTCTACTATTCCTCTAATGGTGCTTTATTTGGAAACTTCCTAGACTTCCAGGCCTTTCAAGCATCCGGATGATTCATACCCTCTATCCCAGGAATGTGTGCTCACGGCTTGCCTAGCTAGAATATCTTCCTTGAGCCATGTTCAGCCCACCAATATTTTGCCATGGATCCAAGATGGCAGCCACTTGCCACAACCACATGGATTTGACTGTACCTTTCTCTACTCCACCTAACCTGCCAGGTGGATCTTTCTGTTTATTCTTGCTAGAGAGTGGGGAGGAAGATGGAGAGGGTCTTGCTAAGAGAAGTACCTTCCCAGTAGACTTTGTGTCTCAACAAGTTCAGTCTCCTGTACACATTTCAATTTTTTTCCATCCTACTGCCCATAGCCAGATATCTCTCTGCAATTTCCCTATCTGTCCAAACCTTCAAACACTAGAAGCAAGACCTGGAGTCTAGCAAGCACAGGTCCAGGCACACTTACAGCCAGAGTGAGTTTCTCCCTTGAGTGATGACACCGGTGAATCTGGTCAGGCGCCTGGCATCCACTTCAATCCACTGATGTAGGTCATTCCTTCCTGCACACCATGCTCCATCATAAAAATCATTTTCATTAATACCTGCCTGGAAAGAAAAATGTGTGTTCTTCAGAAAAATTCTCAATTGGAAAGAAAAATGAGATAAATCTTTTCCTAAGACTGGGAGGAATGCAGAGGAGATAGAAGAAGAGAATGAGGAGGAGGATAAAGACAAAATCATTGTGCCCTGAACTATGTGTTGTGAATCATAAAAGGGAGTTGTTTAGTATTAACAAATTGGAAATATTTCAATATTTCAAGGTCTTCTCCTTGCTCAGTGTGAAAGATGAAATTTAATGAGTTCTCTTATTACTCATTCAGCCAACAGACATAAGCCTTCTCCTACATACCAGCCCACACATGCCAGGTGCTGAGGATACAAAGGTGAAAAGCTCCCTCTCAGAATCTCACCATTCAGGCAGGAAGAAAGACATGAAAATAGATTAAGTAGAACACAATAGAGCATGTGTTATTTTAGGAGATGAGCCAACTGCTATGGAGGCATTTAAGGCTAGCACAACAAACTTGGTCTGGGTAAAATCATGAGTAGAAAGCCCCCAAGACAGAGGTGATATTTGAGCTGGGTGTTAAAGGGTAATTGTGACTAGTTTATTTATTAGTGTTTAAGTCATTTGATATGTTGCATATCAGTTACTATTACTTCTTCCAAAATTCTCTTGATCTCATTTTACAAAGAAGATAAAGTTTCTGCTATAGAATTTTCCCAATATTATCACCATTTGAAAAGAAAATTCCCCAAAGGTATGTGTGTGGTGGGGCAGGGGGGGGGGATTTGAATCAAGTGAAGCATTCTGGTTTACCAAGACCCTTTCTGCATTCATCCTATTTTTTGATAGCTATCTGACAAGGATATAATCAGATGAGAAAAAAAAATCTGAATGATTAAAAATAATAGCCCATTTTCCCTACCTCTGAGCATTTTTCAGCTCAAATTCTAGAGATAGTGTTATACTTAATGGGCAATGGAAATGTGAAATTCAGAATCCAGCTATAGTAGATTAACAACTTGGCCAAAGGTTCCATTAGTGGAACTCTATCTATCACTGTACCAGCCAACAAAAGCCTTACTCAAAGATCAAACCATGTATGTGTATTTCCAATCTACTGAAACAATCTGGAAACAGCTTTGAGGACAAAGTTAGAATAATAACATATGATATGATGGTCTTCTAAAAGTATCACAATCTCAAACAAAGGTAAATTCTTTTTTTTTTTTTTTTTGGAGAGATTTTCGCTATAGGGCACGTGCGCTCGCCAGACAGATAGAGAGAGAGAGAGAGATAGAAAGCGAGAAGTCACCCCCCAGGGGGGATGGTCACGCTGCAATCCCTTCTCCTCCATTCTCCTCTCAGGATCTTGGGCACACACGCACACGTGCCGGCATGAGTTTTAAGCCACCGGGTCTGGGACACGAACCGCGGTCAACTATGTGGGAGTCCAGCAACATAGCCATTACGCTAACTGCTGGTTCCCAAACAAAGGTAAATTCTTTAAAAACTATTAGTCAACACTCCCTAGAAAGCCAGGTTCTCAATCAGCACAGCACTGTTGGGATGGCTCAAGTGTCTGTAATATGGAGGTAGAGGTCTTGCAAAATTTGACTTCTAGAATCATCAAAGAAAGGTTAAATTTGACAAATGTGCCTTATTACCAGTACTCCAGTGTGTTTATTACAGTCTAACGCTAAAGAAGCAATGGTGCCTCTCTCTATTAAGCATAACAGCTCAGTTCCTAACTCTGCCAGCCAAGGATATCGGGATAGCAGCCTAAAGGTTATAATTACACAATCATTTGCTTTCTGCATTTGTAGACAGTTACTGATGACAGAGATTTATAACACATTAATGACCTACAATATCACAATTCATTTTCTGTCAAAAAAAAAACTTCACATTTTTTGTTGTGGTTACCCTTTTCTTATAAATAGTCCATGAGACTGGCCTTTAGAATAGTTTCATTAATTTAGTAAAATGACCCTTTGCTGTGCCTCTGCTATATGTTAAGTACTGGCCTAGGCAATAGGAATGTAAAGGTGAAAACTATGTACATCCTTGTCCTCTGTAGCTCAAAATAGGCAGGTGGACTGAAGTCTATGTCTTCTCCTCTGTAGAGGATAATGGGTAGATGGATATGGCACCTATGTCTTGCATCTTGGTCATGGCATTTTAAAATCAACCTCCACACAATGTGCTCATAAACAGTGTGTTCTATTAAGTTCCATTGCCTGAGTATGAATCCCAGTTCAACCACTTACAAGCTATAACAACTCAGGTGATTTTTCTATATGCTCTGTGCCTCGGTTTTCCTATGCGTTAAGGGGAGGAAATGATCATTTCTCCCTCAGAGTATTGAATGTACTTACAATAGTGACTGGCACTCAGTTAGCGTCAGCTCAAAATATGAGTGCCCTATAAATGTCACTTATCAGAATATTTTTTAAATGACCATTTGGTTAGCACTGGCAAAATATGGAAGTATGGACACTTTAAAAATTCTTCTGAGATTTATAAAATTCTAAGGAACTATGATACTATTCCAGTTCACTGCTGTCACATTTTCTACAACTAAAATATCCAGAATGGGGTTACAAAATCTGAAAAATGAGGAGAGCCATAACCTAAAGTTCTCAACAGGAGTCCATATTGCCCTTTCAAGTGATATTTAGCTATTTATAAAGTCATTTCTGGCTGTCACAACTGGAAAAAGGGTGCACTAATGGTATCTAGAGGGTAGAACCCAGAAATACTACTAAACAACTCACAATGCACAGTGAGTCCCCCTTGACAAAACATTGCCTGACCCAAAATGTCAGCAGTGCCAAAGCTGAGAATCCTTGCTCTATGGCAAAGCAAAAAGAGCTGCCATATAGCTTGAAATGCTTACCTTATAGAATCACAGAAGCTCGGAATTGAAGAGCTATCTTCATGCTATGCACCAAAGTCTCCTGACTAGTATTTGGAATTAAATTTATAGTTCCTGGTTTTGTCAGGCTGGATATTTTGTGTCTGCTGCCAATCTCAGTTCTTTCTGAGCACACTAGACAGTGAATTAAATGTAGTAAGGTGTCAGGCAAACAAACAGCCCTTGCCAAAGTTGGCTCATTGGGAAATGACAGCCACCTCTGCAAAATCAATTATGAATTGAAAAAGCGTGGGAGAATTTGTGAAAGAGAAAGTACCAGTCCCAGAGATGTCACCAAATTATACCACAGCACGATAAATGATATTCATACAATGCCTCTGAGAAACCAAGGAAAGAGTACATTCATCCCTTTCTATTTAATACTGTAGAGAAATAGTTGATAAACTTTGGAAAATTTTCAATTTAAAGTTGTTGAAATAAAAGATTTGATTCCATAAAGGATATGCTAGTCTTGAAAACACCACTAACATTGAAGATTTCCACTTCATTAGAAAATAAATTGAATATTAATGTAATCTTTTCAAGGCAATGAAGTTATATGCATTATTTCTTTACAACAAAAACACACCAATGCACCAAGACTCAATTTTGCATAAAATAAATATGAGAGCTATTAAATCCATAACAAAGAAAAAACTGATATTACTTAAGATCGATCAAATATAATTCTGTTTTCAGGACCAGCAGATAACATAATGGTTACATTGCTAGACTCCCACATGGTCAATCACAGTTTGAATCCCAGACCTGGTGGCTTAAAACTCATGCCAGGTGTGTGTGCACATATGCTCAAAATACATAGAGGAGAATAGAGAAGAAGGGATTGTGGCATGGCCATCCTCCCAGGGGTGATTTCTCGCTTTCTCTCTCTCTGTCTCTCTGGCAAGTGCATGTGCATTACAGCAAAAATCTCTTTGAAAAATGGAATTTTTCTGTTTTCGGATAATGGAGTAAATATGTTGGTTTTTCTGTTCTCTCAAAAATTTTTTCAAAGTAAAGAACATAAGATACAGAAATATAACCTTAATCTCTCATAAAACTAGAAAATACTTATAAATCCTAAATTATAATACATGAAGAAAGAAATCAGATGAAGGAATTCTGAATTACTCAGTAGTAGAAAAAGTGCAACTCTCCAGTGGCATATGTGTGAGAAACAAGTTACATGGAACCAGCAAAGCTCAAAACCTGGGGTCCAAGGCACCTTGAAAAGTGAGAGTGAGGTAGGATTGAAAGAGACTTACTCCAAAATTTGTATAAAAATACCAATTAGGGGACCAGCAAATGACATAATAATTACGTCACTGAACTCCCATGTAGTAGACTACAGTTCAAGTCCAGGACAAGTGACTTAAAACTCACACCAGGCACATGTGCATGTGCACCCAAAATCCTGAGAGGTGGCTGGAGGAGAAGGGATTGTAGCATGGTCATCAATCCGGGGTGGGGAGTGGGGTAATTTCTCACTTTCTCTCTCTCTGTCTTTCTCTGTCTCTCTGGTGGGTGTACATGCCCTATAGAAAAAAATCTCTCAAAAAAAAAAAATCAGGTCCCTGCCCCCACTCCACAAAGAAGCTGAAACTCATTTCTCAAAAGAAGCAGACAAGAGAGGCTCAGGGACAACAGACAGAGAGAGAGCAGGTGTGCTACAACAGATAAAAACAGGAAATCCAGTGGATATCAGCATACTGCAGAGAGAGACATTCCAGCTCTCTTTTCTTGCCTAGCTATAGCTATGGAAAACTATGTAGCCAAGAAGAAAAAAGAAAGAAAGGAAGAAAGGAAGAAAGGAAGAAAGAAAGAAAGGAAGAAAGAAACAAAGAAACAAAGAAAGAAAGCAAAGAAGAAAAAAACCTCAAAATATAAAACAAACAATAAATTTAATTGACACAAAAAGGAAAAGTTATTTGTTGATATAACATATATGGTAATGTCTTGACTGGTAGGCACTGTATTTGTGCTGAGAAAAAAACATGTCATACACTGAAAAGATGTATAGTGATTAAGTGTAAATAATAAATATTTTAAAATAAATAAAAGTAAAAAGAGAAAAGAAAAAGTTGGGAGAAACTATAATTAATATCCCTAGAAAGAAGATCCTTT